GAAGAGGAGTAGTAGTGTTTGTTCATACAGATCCTCCTCTGCTGTCGGTTTAAACGGAAAAAAAAAATTTAATCTAGATTTAAAGTGTAGTACAGGTATATAATATAAATAATTAAATATTTGTTATGTTTATAGAAATTAGAATTTAGTAAAATTTAATTTTAAATACTATATAGTAAAATATTTTAATGTTTGCGTATTTTATTTTTCAGAAAAAGTATTAATGATTATGTAATATTTGTATCAATCTAATTACAATATGGCTAGTTCATCAGGTAAATTATATTAATGATAGTACTATTAATTGTTGTGATAGTTAAATGAATTACTCCATTATACATTTATAGAAACAGCAAATACCACCATTAATGAAAAAATTTCAAAAACATCAGTAAAAGATGAAACATTATTGCGATTTGAACCATTATCATCTTGTCTTGATCCTAACTTTTGGTTCAAAGTTTGTCAATTAAAATTAGAAGTTGATAAACTAGATGAAGTCCATAGACCATTGATTGGATATTATACTTCAAATAATAATCCATATATGTCATTTGACTGTTCATCCTTTAACCAGTATGAAACTTTTTTTTGTATTTTATATTAAATTTTTAGAATAATTAATATGTATTTATTTACCATTTATATTAAAGAGAAGTTAATGATGAAACATCTTTTAAATATGTTGCTCGTGGCTATTGTTTAAATAAAAATACAATAGATTCATTTAAAAAATGTGATAAAAATGAATTATTAAGAGAATTTGGTGAACGGTTATTAAATGATTTCTGTTCTGGTAAAGCTATTGAAGACCCTTCCATAATTCCAGCTTTTGATGTATTAATGTACACAGTGAGTTGTTCTATTATTATTTTAATAATTATATTACTTAATTTACTTTATTATTTACTGCTATAGGATTTAAAACGATATATTTTTTATTATTGGTTTGCTTTTCCATCATTTAACGGACCAAAGTATTGTCTAAACGATGTACCTACTCTTCTTAAAAATACGTTTTCTTCTCCACAGGTAAATATTATTAAGTGTTTTRTTTCAAAATTATATTATATTAACATYAATATTATTATATTTTAGTTTGATTCATTMGTTTTTGGATTTAAAAATCTAAAAATTAACCAAAGAGGATTTTTTGGAGTTGCATCTACRAAAGAAGGAAACCTTACAGTTATGACTCTAAAAGAGTACATCAATATACTTAAAAATAATACAGAAAGTGATTCAGTTGGTTATTTAGTGTTTGCTGATCCATCAGATTTGTTGAACAATCCTGGATGGCCATTACGAAATCTTCTGTATTTAATTTTACATCACTGGTAATATATACAAATTAAKATATACRCTATTTCATGAGTATTAATTCTTATTCAACAAAGTGACCTAGGCTTCCAAATACTGCGTATGAGTGTGGTTTTACTACACACATGCATGCAGATAGTTGACTCAGAGGGGATTACAAACAATCAGTCCATGGTCACTTATTACTTWAGTAATACTTACTAAAAATRCAATAGTACACTAAATTAGTTTAGTCAAGTATAGTTGAGTGTTGACTCAGTTAACTATTCATTACTTATTTTGGTAATAAAATAAATCGCTATAACATAAGGTGTAGATTTGATAACAACATCGCTACCTATTTAATTGATAACATCATGGGACAATTCAATTRATTATAATTTTTTCTTTTAGTCCCTCCATTAGAACTTCAGTGTTGAGAGTAATAGCATTACGAGGTTCTCCTTCTACTAAATTTTCAGCCAGCATGTTRTTTAATATAAAAGTATCGTGTAAGTTTTAGTAAAATATTATTATGAATTAAAAAAATGATTTTYGAACATGTTTGTATTTGTTTGATATTTAGCTGAAGATATTTTTACGCAAGATGCTATTAAATTTGTGGGCTGGGAAAAAAATGCTAAAGGAATATTCTGTCCAAAATATGTAGACCTCAGTAAAACAATGGACTCTACAAAGTTAGTATATTCAAAAATATGTTTAAGAAGAAAATTTTTTATTAATTATTAATTATATTTTTAGACAAGCCAAAGAATCTGTAGATTTAAATCTTAAGTTAATGAAATGGCGCATTGCTCCTGATTTAAACTTAGATATTGTTGCTCAATCAAAATGTCTAATTATTGGAGCTGGTACACTTGGTTGTTGTGTGGCTAGAAATTTAATGGTTTGTATAACATTATTCAATCTTAAGATAAATTTAGATTTTAATGTTATTCGTATTAGGATTCACTTGAAAATTTAATTTGTATTTGACAAAATCTAATAACTTTTGAATAAATGCATATTTTTTATTCAAATATTTAAAAATGTCATGAATTCTGTTGATGAATAAATATTTTAATAGTATATGTTTAAGAAAAATGTTATGAATCAAGTCCATAAAAAATTAATATAATATGTTCTTTTCTATCTTAATAGCATTATTGACATCAGCATTGGTGTTGCAAATTTTGTATAATGTRATTTGAAATTTTAATATCTTAATGTGTTTTAATTTACTATTATTATTTCATATTTTATAAGTGCTTGAATTAAAATTAGTTGCTTGTCA